TACGGTGACATATGAATTGGGGATGTGGACAGGTGCTGGAAAACATGACTGAGAAGGCAGAGATGCTCAGAGAGTGCGGCTGGTGCTCTGGTGTGGCTTTTTCGCTAGCTAGGCTAACTACTCTAGCTAATGTTAGGTAGATCCAGAAACAATGAAAGTACATTTCACTGACAAAGTAATATGGCACATCGACCATTGAGGAGAAAAGAGCTCATGTAGGAGATAAAGAGTCTCCATGAACAACCAGCTTTGTCTCCATTAGTGTTGTTCATTAGCCTATCTAAAGAGGCAGCGTCTGTCCTTAATCAGATACAGAAGCTACTTCATATTTCTCTCTGCTATTACTGAATAATATGGGTAGTTTCAAATGTTGACCTCTAGTGCTATTGTCTAAAAACTAAAGCCAAATTTTCGCCAAAATCTGATTTTGTCACCACTTTGTTGTTGCTTTTTCCTTCCTTGCCGTTAACCGGATATGTGTTGATTAAGTCTTATGGATACTCAGATATCAAAATTAGTTCAAATGCACACACTTAGTATGAATAAGACACAGCAAAGAAATGTGAAGTGATGATCATTCCTGGTCAAATAGCATGGAAGAGCACAGAAAACCTACAAATTCTTAACTGTGTACAAAAATTAGATAAACAAAACAAAAGATACTACATTCCTCTGAGCAGGCCCACCATCCGATGCCATGCAGTTGCTGAGAATGCTGTAAACTGGCGAGATCCGTCTTGTTGCGAGAAAATCTCCAGGCAACTAATCTATTATGATAAACTGTATTGACACTAAGCAAAGAGGAAAGTATGGAAAAAAAATAGAGAATTACAAACGGTAAACATTCCCAGATTGACATCCAAAAATAGACCTAGGAAGTGAGCAAAGATTACCAGTCGAGCAAATGACAGACAGGAATATGAAAGAACACGTGAATAAAATTATGACAAAACCCACTGTGGAAAAACTATGGAATGAATTCTCTCCATCAATGCCCCCCCCCCAAACCACCGCCACCGACACACACACGCACACCACAGAACAGACACACACGCATACACAAGGATACACACTCTTTCTCTCTGCTCCATTTGTCTACTTTTCAAAGTATCCAAGCTTTTCATGGTCAACCAAAAGAGAAGAAAAGACACAATGCTTGTCCATTTACAGGCGATGTTGCCATGGAGAGAGAGAGAGAGAAGAGGCAGAGAACACAGACTGGAGAATTCCACTGATCGGCCAGTCCGCTTTTTGATACGTAGCAGACGATTTCGCTTAATTATTTCCTTTAACGGTAAAAGTAGGAAAAGCAGGCGGAAAATGGGCAAGCCAGGGCCGGGTGAGTGAAAGGCCATGTGGTCCACTGACAACAACACACTCAGAGGGAGCATGCCTGCATCTCAACACAGCCGCAGAGTTAGAGCGCTGGCCAGCAGCGAGCTAGGGCCGCTCATTTATCTGTCACTTACAGGCACTGCTTTGGGAGAGGAAATGGAAATAAAACTTTATCTGTGCGGGCGTAGTGTTTTTGGGGTTGTGGCTTGGTTTCATTCATTGAACAGCGCGATGGGTCCTGCGTCAAGGCCAGCTGTAAATGCACTCGCAAGAACGGTTGCCCATAATTCAAACTACAGCACAGAAGTAAGTGAATGATGTACATATACAGTATTAGTACGTGGAGCTTGAAGTATTTGTCCGAACCTGACACGATGTGAGTCAGGACGGGTCTTTTTGTGCGCTCTGGTCAGTTTCAGCCTAAAAATTTGATGATGTGGGTTGAGTTTGGATCGAAGAGAAAGTTCTTTGGCTGTATTGGGGTTCGGACCAAAGTTTCAGGCCCGATTAAAGCTCTAGTTGTAAGGGTGCTTGAGTTCACTAAGCCCCTATAAAAATCAATGTGGAAAACATGTATGTATGCATGTCTGTATGTATGTATGTTATGAACTCATTCTCTAAACACTGTAGGTCACCCATACCGGTAGGTGGTGAACCTTCACTCAGATGTGACAGTGACAAAGATTAGCTCTGTTTCGGTTTGTGGCTGAGAACATGTGCAAGTATGTGTGTTCTTATTTGTGTAAACCCTGAACAAACCCTAAACCGCTTTGTCATAACCTATAAAAACGTGACTCTGTGGTTCTCACTTGTGCATGTGAACGAGTGTGTACGTGTGTGAGTGTGGGTACGTGTGGTTGGGTAGATGTGTGTGTCCATGAGTGAAATGAAGCATAAACAACACTCTGTTCCAGGGGGAAAAGTCCACATTGCAAAGTAATTGCACTGCCAGTGATGCTGCAACTGCACAATAGTACAGGTAGATGTCAATTATATCATATGCTGTAACTTCAGAACACAAAACGTGTTCGTTTACAGTACAGAGTAATCTCTGAATGGGTGTCAACATTGCTAAAGCTCTGCCAGAACACAGAAGCCGGTCAACATTTGAGTGACTTCAATCTTGAGGCCTGTTAGAGTCCCTAGATTAGAGTCCCACTCGGAATTGATGACTTTGCCAGAGGGGACATCTGTAACGAAATTTTCACACATTGAGTCCAAATATTTGTGTCATTAAGGTCATACGATCAAACGAAAAGATGATGCGAATGTATAGGACTGCTTTACACCCTGTAGCTGCCATGGTAATCTCCCTTTTAATCAGCCTGTATGATCTGATTGACAGCATAGCTAGGATGGAGAAAGATCTATCGCTCAGACCACATCATTGAGATGTTTTGTGATTCAGGAGGAAATTAATAGAGGAGACTAAATGTGCAGCAATGGTATAATAAATATTTGGTGAATATGAGCTTTTTTCTCAACACACGGCAACATCCACCTAAGAAATCACAGAGATGTGTGTCCAGACAGAACTCAAATGATCAAACCACTTCTGAATTCAGTGAATTAAAAAAGACAGCATATTTAACAGCCGATTTAATTGGAAATAAGCGCCTATAAATAAGGAAATTACCCCCGGACCCCATGTTTATCCCATCCAAACTGGGCTCTTTCTGGATTACAAGAATTACAGAAAAATGTATTTAGCATTGGTTTAACACATTAGTTGCCTAAATAGTAGAGTTATGATCCATCACAAGCTCTCATCTCGGATCTTCCGCATTCCCTTCTGATATCCTTCTATGCAGTGTCCCCCCAGTGCCAGTCTTGAAGTACCCTCCACACAGTTTAGGATTTTCCCTGGTCTAGGACACAGTCTAGCTGGTCTGAGAACCATTGATTCACTTCTTGTGGTAATTACCAAACTCTTTGTGAGCTGAATCAGAGTGTGGCCATGTCTGAGAAAGGAATCTGGGCACTTCATCACTGCTCCAGCACTGGGAGTGGACAATGCCACTCCAATGTTATTCGGTTAACAACCACCCTCAGGCCTCTAAACAAAATGATAAAATCACAGACGCTTCTACACTAATTCTCCTCCAGTATTTTTTGGGTCCAATGCAGCACGCATGTACATATTTGTAAAACAGTGATTCATTGCAAGAACAGAGAAAGAAAAGAAAAAAGACATAAGAATACATGGTCAATATATGCATATCACTGTTAAGTCTTCCCAGCATAACAAACCAAACGTAATTTGACTAGGGAGTGTTCAGGGATTTGCATATGGTTGTTCACCAATCATAAATTATTTCAAATTGGGAAGCATATTAGTATGAAGTAGCCACTTCCACTCAGAGTGAGGGTCACAGTGTCTTTTTTGGACAACGTTGGGGGAAGTCCCTGAGCCATTGCTCATTCTACCCACTTTCATTGGTGGCCTGCTGAAAGTCTGTTTCCAGCTGCCCTGGTGTTAAATCACCACCCTGGAACAACCAGCCTCCCTGACCACAACCCTTCTTCCACCTCCACCCAGGCAGCTCCGCCCACGCCACCGTCACTCTCCGCAACACTGATGACCAACACACAAAATATGCCTCTGTTTACTAAATAGCTTAGTTTTTACTGTTGCCATATTTAGGCGTTGTTCATTAAAGTACCAGAGTACCAGAATTGTGTTAAAGACTCACTCTAAAGAACAGCCAGGAAGGTTGTCAAATCATGAAAAATACTAATGAAACTGCTAATACATAATAATAATATACATTGTTTTAATACTTATATAGTAGTAGTATATAGTGCTAATATTATTTGTATTACTATATTATTATTATGTTATAACTATAGAATTACTGTATACTATATATTAAATTAATGAACTAGTAATTCCTTATAAAATCAAAACTGACAGTTTCAGTTTCCCCATTCATCTTATCCTCATTCACTCCTGCCACACTTATTGAAATATGCTTTACAACACGTTCACAACACATCAGAACATGTTTTTTCCTTTCAAACAGGATTTCCCTTTCTTCTGTAAACAGAATGCCTTCCAAATAATTTATGATTTTGGTGGTCAATGGATGTTATTAACTCATAATATCCACCATCACTAATGAAGCAAATAGTGGAGCACTATTGCACTATCTGTACTGGGAAGTTATGATTGTATATGTTGTAATAATGTTCTTTGTGAACATGGAAATCATCGCACATTTTTTTATTACAATCAAATGTTTGACTTATTAACAGCAATACCAGGTCTTTTGTGCTGCTTATGAGGTTTCTCATTACCTTCCTCCGGATGGTTACAATCAATGGATCTGTTGTTAATCATAGTTAAAAACCAACATCCTCTGCAAATTTAATGCTCTTTGAGAAGCACTACATGGCTTTGCTAGATAAACAGACAAATCTCAGGCATTACACAGTGTTACTTGAGAATCATTTAAAGCAGTAGTTCCAACCTTTTTGTGAAAAACTGACAAATCAAGGTCTTCAAGATCATCTGAATATGAAAGCCAGGTGTTTTAGGCTGAACTCAAAAATACAGGCCAACAGATTTCCATGAGCAGGGCCAGTCACTCAAGACCATCTTACCCTGTCGATGCTAAGGCCTTGATTCTGATAGGAAGCACTCATGAGTCTGTTTTTGTTTCCAGATCTCAGGACAGCAGCATGAACTCAAGCACGGCACAATACTCCAACATCCAACACTGTAACAATGACCTCAGCGTTTGCACCGATGATGGCTGCTACTCCAAGAAGAGACGCTACGTGCGCAAAGACGGCAGTTGCAACATGATCTTCCGGCATGTTCCTGGAGAATGGCTCCTGTATGTAACAGACATCTTCACCACCCTGGTAGAGATCCGCTGGAGGGTCATGTTTCTCACCTTTGCCCTTTCCTATATCCTGTCCTGGCTGTTTTTTGGGATCCTCTTCTGGATCATCGCACTTGCCCATGGTGACGTAAAGGATCCAACGAACGAGCCGTGCGTCTATGAGGTGCGGAGCTTCACGGCAGCCTTCCTCTTCTCTCTGGAGACACAGACGACCATTGGCTACGGTGCACGTGGCATGTCCGAGAACTGCATGCTGGCCATAATCATTGTGACCATCCAGGACATCATAAGCGTCTTCATCGACACTTTCATAATCGGGATTGTCATAGCCAAGATGGCATCAGCCCGGAAGAGAGCGCAGACGGTGGGATTCAGCAACACTGCGGTGATTAACCTGCGCAATGGACATCTGTGCCTGTCATGGCGGGTGGGCGACTTCCGTCGAAACCACATCGTAGAGGGGACTGCGCATGCGCAGCTAGTTCGACAGATAGCACACATGACTGGCAAAGTTGACATATCCTACCATGACCTAGAAATCCAAAATAACCACGTCATTTTGGCCACGCCAACCACCATTGTCCATAAAATTGGTCCCAGCAGCCCTATGTATAAGACAAGCCTGCAAGATCTGCGGAGAGACAGCTTTGAGCTAGTGGTGTCGTTCACCTACACAGATGACTGCACTGGGATTCTCCACCAGACACGCACCTCCTACACCCCCAGCGAAATCCTCTGGGGCCAGCAGTTTCAGGAGATGCTGAGAGTTAACCGAAAACACTACAGAGTGGACTATGCCCTGTTTCACCAGACCATTAAAGTCCCACTGCTGGAAATTAGCGCAGAGGAGTACGAACTAAAGAAGCATTCTGCTTGTCCTAAACATGAGCCACAAAACGCCAGTCCTTCTGAGGTGTCTCAGGAGTTGTGACTGGGAGAAATCTTGGGTTGAAAGTGCACAATAACTGGTAGTGTTCTTTAAAACGATACATTATAGCAGTGACCCAGGAGGATAAGCGACTTAGATAATGTGTGTATGTGTGTGTATAGCAGCGTAATGTATCTCTAGGACACTATAGCACCTAGGGTATATGAAAGAAAGGCCATGTGAGTCACTCTTGTATAGTAGCAGTCACAAGAGGGCATGATCAGTAAAACCTATCTGAATCACTTTAAAGAGGCCTGTAGCTTTGTGCTTTACATATAAATCTAAGATATTTCAAATATTTAGAATATTATGCTCCAGCACTTGCAATGTAAATGCATTACTCTGGATGCCATTAAGGAATAACACCTACCCTATATAAGCACATTCTAATTAGCAAAGCACATATGAATGTAAGTGGGAGTTCCCCACATGTAGTGGTAGGCTTCTGATCCTACAGATATTAGAATACATATATGGCATAAGAACTATGCTGGTATTTCAGTGTGTATGTGACTTGTAAATGTATGAAATGTTTCTGACCAGTGCCCGCACTGCAGCCTTCTAAACATGGCAGCTTTGAAAAATGACCAAGACCAAGAAAAAGTGTCTTGAAAATGAAGATCAACCATGTGTCTAGGAAAACTGACCCTGAAGAGCTGGACACAACAATCTAATATAATAAACATGCAACAAATATGCCTGTTTTATCCACCGTAGGGTTAATTGCATTTTCAGCACATAATTTATAATTGAAATAAATGTTAGCCTCATGATTTCAGTCTTATTTGTAAGTTGTTTGTACAGTGAACAAGTAGCCTAATGTGCCAGGGCAAACTCGGGACACTCAATTAAAGATGCTTCTCTAAATTGTTTTAGTTGGTGTCCTGTCTGGTTATTTCTAATATATATATATATATATATATATATTATATATATATATATATATTGTGGAAATGTTCTGACAAAATAGTATGATCCTGATACAGTGTCTTATATACCTAAGACTTTGAGACTCCATCTCTTTTTCTCTATATTATATTATATTATAATTTGAAATATGAACTCCTATTTTGCCATTGGCTTTTTCATTGTCTGTTCAAGACTTGTTTATATCATATTATGATCATTCTAGCAAGACTTTATGGATAATACTCAAGTTACTCAGTTAAGCCATTATGGGAAACTGTAGGCTATATTCCATGCTGTACTTCTACATCAGGTGTACATGGGGTTGCACATATCCTACACTCCTATCTTTCCTGTATAAAACACAGAGAAACTTTAATATGTTCATTACTTTGATATGTCACTAAGGTACTCTAATAGAGATGCCTGAAAAGGTCATAAAGTCATGACTTAAAACCTTGAATGGGATATGGGTCAGTTCTGATGACAGTGATGTTAACCTGACCAGGTTTACACCTATGATCCCATTTTTCCTTTAGTATCATCTGAAAAAGTGCAGGCCCCTCAAAGTGACCTACTTAAAAAGTGACTCCACTGATTTTCCAAAAACATTCAACATAATTAAGTGGCTGAGATGTAAATAAAGCCATTCAGAGTGGTTTGGTTTGAAATGCTCCATTCTGAAGAAACATACTGAGTAACAATGGTTTTGATAGGAACCAGACGTCCACCTCTAAAAGCTCCTTCACAGAAAGTTATTACATGAACATGTTAGTTGTATGCTGCTTGATGTCTGACACATTGTTTTATAATAGTTTTGCGATATAATTTTGGCTTAAAATGTCTTTGAAACTATTTTTTTTTATAATAGTCTGCCCAAAAAACATCAGATTTATGACTATTTTACCATCATCAACTCAGAAAACATGTGCAGGTTCACTGGTGGTTTTGGATAGTAAATAAAATGGCTATATTTGTGTTGTAGACATGGCGACTCCTGGTTCCAATCACCACCACTGTAAAGAAATCTGAGTCTCTACAATAATTCATTTCACGTCAAACCACTCTGCATGTCTCTGTGCGTGCACTGCTAGTCAATCCTAACGTAAGAGAAGATTTTCCGCTAGCCAGTCCGAGCGATGGCAGCGTTTATTAGAATAACTGCAAGACAAGCATTAAATGGGTAATTCATCAATTCTTACATTTTTTTGTATAAGTCAGTAATGGAGATGTAAATCAAAGTCACTCTGTTTTGCTTCATATGTATCCACCATGAATGAATGAATTAGCTTGAAGTTAAATACTTTATTATTACTTTATTAATACTTTATTATTACTTTATTAATATTTTATTAATTACAAATATCTCAAATCAATGTCCCAGTCATCAGGCAGCATATTCATAACCATTTCAACGTTATAACTTTTTGTAATGAAGCTTTCAAAATGTATTAAACGCTTCAGACGTCTGGTTCCTATCACATCCACTACAAACTTCTGACTATTCTTTTACCTGTTTGATAAGATTCTCTAACATTAAGCATTTCACACCAAACCGCTCTGAATGACTGTTCACATCTTAAACGTTTAATAATGGAGAAATTCTGAGGCTTCTGAATTTCCTACGTTTTCTAAGGTTGCTATGGTAACGTTGCCGCCTTCGCAACCGCCCGATTCGCTGGGGCTGATTACGAGGATAAACGGTAAGCCAATCGCAGCGCAGGACGCGACATTCCACTGGCCAATCCCAGCGCCGCAAGGCGGGGTTTCACGGAATACGGGTGGGAAAACGAAGCAAAACAACGCCTCCAGTCCTCCACCTTGTGGTCAGAAACAGCTGCGTCCGAGCGCAGCGCCTCAAACGGAGCCGAAAGGTAAACAGTAGCTACGCTCAGACGGCCGTGTCGGGGCTATAAATAGTCTGAATTATTTATAGACCGGACAAGAAAGGAACTAAAACGAGCGCCTCGAAAACAGCTTCACAAACAAAGTCCAGAGCACGGCTCATTGGCTGTGATCAGTAAGCGGTGTTTGACATGGAGCCCTGTGGAAGCACGCAGCGGCCGGGAAAGAGAGAGGGGGCAAGGGAAGGCGAGCTGGTACCGGCCTGGAGTGATGGATGGATCTCTGGGGGGGAAAAACTGATAGTTTTCTTTCTTTACGTCTTTATGAAGTTAGTGCCAAAAACTCTTGCTGAGGTCAGATGTGGGACGTAGTGTGTGTGTGTGTGTGTGTGTGTGTGTGTGTGTATGTGGTGGGGAAGCCGGGTATACCCTGTTTTAGTCCACAGAATATTTCAATATATCCTCTCATTCACATCCAAACATTTAATTCGTCCAAACTAGAGGTGACATGAAGCCAACAGGTGAAAACCCTACATCTGAAGTTAAACCAAGGGTCACTATTGGCCCACCAGTACGTTCCTAATTAGCATATCACAACAAATGACAACCCATGACGAGATAATGGCTGAACTACCTGTATGGGCTTAAATACTCCACACAAAGGAATGTATAGACTAGTTTACTGGCTGCAATTCTTAAGTCAGTGATTATGAATTTATAAATGATATTAAAAGTTTATACCTCAGTCTAAAAACGTCTGTTTGCTCTTCTTCACCCTCATTATCATCATTAAATCCTGAAGACCATGCTCATGTTTTCTTGGTGTCCTCACTGATTCACTATTTGTTTGTTTTGTGTTGAGAAGACTGTCTGAAATAAGGACCTGACATTGCATCATCTCTCAGATTCCTCATGTTAAACGTACATTCAAACACAGCTTTTTCCACTACTTCTGTTCAGCGCACTCAAGAACAGCTGATGTACTGTGGCATTGTTTAAATGATAGTACTTCTGCTTAAGTACATTGCTGAGAGGCAAAACTACTTTTTTATTGCGTTACAGCTCCATTTTGGTCGCCGACAGACAATTTTATGCCTAATTCTGTTCTGTTGGTTCAGCATCAGCATCGCACAGTTCTCAGTCTGTAGCTTTAGCATCTTATTTTAGACCAAAAGGGGAAAGAATAGCGCCAAGTAAACCTCAGTTCTGACAGCTATGCACTAAGAAGATCCAGTGCAGTTCTGTTCAGGACTCGCTACTGGAGGAGTCTTCATGTCTAACATTTCCTCCACCCAGTCAAACTGTTTTTATGTGGCTACTTTCGCTTCTTCTCCACTCACTCTTTCATTCAAACAGCGAGGTCTGGGTGTATTTCAGTCCCTCTGCCCTCCTCTGCTTTACTATCTGCTTCTCCTCGTCTCCGCTCAGGTCTCCATTTATCCGCGTTCCTTCGGCCCCCCCTCCCCGATTGGCCGGTGGTGGAGCTGGGGGCGGAGCCAGCCGGCGCGTTCTATTTAAATGGGTTTGGCCGCGCGCGTGAGGGAAAATTCAGATCTCTTTTGGGCTTGGCACGTGGAAGCGGAGGACGGAGTGAGTGTGGAGAAGAAGAGAGAAGTCTCGCGTGCGTGTGTGGATGGTGTAAACGTTCTCGGTGGATGTACTGAAGGGGGCAGCTCAATGTTTTACTCAAGATACCGATGACTAACAGGTAAGACTTCAGTAATAAAGCGTTTATTAAAGAAACGTTTGGGGGCACGTCGCCGACAGGACGCTCGCGAGCTTATGTGAAAGTGTCATTCATAGTATATTCACGTATTTAAAGTGTATACGTGAATATACGACGTCTAAGATATGAATGACGCTACGTATACACACGTATACGTGGATGTACATTGTATACTATATATATATATATATATATATATATATATATATATATATATATATACATATATATATATATAACGTATATATGTAAACAGAATGTATATAATGTATATGTATACAGCTATACATATTCAAAAAGAATGAGGATGTTGGGTTGGGAGTTTAATTCATGTATCTAAGCTACTGGTTATTGCACTTGTCTATATATTCTGCATATATTAAAGCCTACACTATATTGACATTATAGGTCACAAAAACTCTTAGGCTTTTCATTCAACTTACTGTGCATTTCCTCAGTAAAGTTTTAGGCTAAATTTGAATATGCTTTACAACTATTCTACAAGCTTTAGAAGGAAAAAAAAAACTACTTTATCTTGCCAAAGCATTAAAAAATACTCAGCATAGCATAATAATTGAAGGCATGCAGCATGTATTATAGAAAGTGTTACTGCTTAACAGCATTTAAACAACCAATGAGTTAGAAATGGCCTGTGCAATAATTGCACAATTGCACATAGGGACTGCCCGTCCTGCACCTGTTGTAGCTCGTTCGTGCCTTTCTAGAGATGCATTCCCGTTGGATTACAGTCAGCAAAAAAGGCAATACGTTGTAGGCTACATGGGGATACCGCCTACCGGTGCCTTTCAGTTTGTGGTCAGTTGGTCATTTCTTGGGCTAATCACCACCTCATGGTCGTTGTCCTGGTTTTGTTTCGAGCAAAAGTCAGAGAATGGAGGGCACACGGTCAGTTCAGTGCTGTTTAAGACTCTTGTTTGACTGATTGATAAGAGGCTGGCCACTCTCGGAGAACCCTATCAGAGGGGTAGTAATTGCTCTGAGGAAGGAATTTGCCCAAAATATCCAGCCCCAGAAATATGTTGAACAAGCATCAGATTGCATTAGATAAAAAAGCTGGATTTTTATGTAACATTTTCCACTGGGTTTCCCTGTTCCACACTATTAAAATAAACACTTCTCCTGAGACGTAAACATTGTCATTTTGCATTTCATTTGCTTAAAAAGAAAATAATCTCTCATGCTAACCTTAATCTGCCTGTATGTGTTGCCAGGTGCTCCATTGTTAAGATGACAGAATAGGTTTTGCCAGCAGAACCCAAAGGCAGCATGCTTTAAATCTTCCTTCCAAATCATTCTGAATCACATTTAGTTGATCAACAAAAGAGAACGTCCTCCATTAAAAGGCGAGCCCACTTGATCTTACAAGATGCATGCACACAAAGACTGTGAACTTTTATCGCATTAGCATATCTCACAACTGAGACTCTTTTATTCCTTCACAAAATCACTTTAGAACCTCTTTGAAGTCTTTTAGCATTCCTTGTATTTAGAGAATTAGAGCTCATTTCTGAGGGCAGGTTGCTAAGACAGTGGCTCAAAAACATGTAGTACAGACTAAGGGCCTTAATGAGTGATGCTTTAGCTCTGCCAAGCAGATCTCTTAGGCCTACCATTATACAGCTGAGAGGAGATGAGGTCCCAGCGGATGAGCTCTCGAGTCCCCTCTATCTCTGCGCAGTGCACCCTGCAGAACGAAGGCCTCAGCTTGTTGTTTTCCCCCTCTGTTGGCGCTTAAGTAATAGTTTGTCCTCTCGTTTTGTTCAGTATTTGTTCTATTATTTCTAATATATTATGCATCAGAACGCAGCTCAGTAGGGTTAGTGGTTTCCTGCCAGCTCAATATTTTTTTTCCCATATAAAAAAAAAACAAAAAAAAACAAAACAACAACAAAAACTTACTTTGAGTATTTGAATGGGGTCAGAAATATTGAAAAAGAAAGCTCATGTTCCACAGAACTATAAACATAGTTTTGTTTTCATAGTGGCTATCGGCATTTTCAGTTTCACATTTGCAACCATTAGCGTACATATGAAATATCCATGAATAGCCACAGTCACAGTCGTGGATCACAGTGAAAAGCATTCTAAATACTCCACGTTTCAGAGAGTGGTTGGAAAAGTTTCCAGGACTCTGCAGCTGGTTAGAGAAATCTAGCCATTGTGTACCAGTGCACTGGTAAAGGACATAGTCATGCAAAACATTTTCCATCCTCCCTGACTGTGATTAGCAAAGTATGTGAAAATAGGCGTTAATAATGCACCGGTGAGCAATAAGGCTGGTGGAGCGCAGAGCTAGCAGTGTGACAAATATGCTGGTGTGGCATTAACTAGTGCTGCTAGCGACTGCTGGAGAGCAGAATTGTGCTTGAGGCAATTAGAAATTCCTGTCCGTTCTGCTGCTGAGCCCTAATTGCAGCAGCACATTTATTGTTTGTTCCATAGGTGGAACTGTACAAAAACAGATCGGACAAGCATTGTTGGCAAAGCCTGATGTAGTGTTAACGTGACATAAGCTTGAGTTTCCATGGGATCTGATGGAGATGTTGTGACCTGGAGTCAAACATTGAAGTTATCATATCATTGCAGTGCTGCCAACAAAAGCGACTGACAATCAAAAAGGACCCTCAACCAATTACTCTCCAATCTCTCAGCCCTCAAGGAATGGGAAATGGCAAACTAGGGGTTTTCTATTCAAAACCAAATGAATTATTTTTGGCCTCATAGTAGGAGCTGCTGGCTCTCATGTGCAACATTTATTAGGCTAACTTTGGTATTAGTCCCAACAGACACTAAACACAGTGTTAAATTTAGGTATCAGGAGCTTAATTTGCAAAATGTCAACTTTTTAAACCCAGAACATGAGGAGAAATGCATTCTAAGGGAAATGTATTTCAGCCTGAATGTTTAGTGCAGTCATTGTTGCCTGAAACCGAGAGGCAAGTCTTTAAACTCTGAACCACAAAGATGTTGTATTTCTCAGGTTTCTACCAATTAAGACTAACTGTCTCCCTGTCTCTTGTTTCGGATAGGACAACCTCATTGATGAGTACGAGGGAGCAGATGAGAGTGGAGTGATCGGCACACTCTTGGCCCTGCCGACCTTTCCATCAATCAAAAGATCCAGCTGGAGCAGAGCGACGCCCGCTGCGTCCGGCTCTCCACAGTCCCACCATTTCCTGCTTGTGTTGGTTCCCGTAGCGTTTCAAAACTGTTTCTCCAACGCTTTTTCCAGAAACTCAGACTGTTTTCCAAAGCAGAAGCAGCACAGGCCTCCCAGACTGAGGTGATGGGAAGTGTGCGGGCCAACCGCTACAGCATTGTGTCATCAGAGGAGGACGGAATGAAGTTGGCCACTATGGCAGTACCAAACGGCTACGGGAACGGGAAGAGTAAGGTGCACACTCGGCACCAGCCCCAGAGCAGGTTCGTCAAGAAGGACGGACACTGCAACGTGCAGTTCATCAACGTCAGTGAGAAGGGTCAGCGGTACTTGGCCGACATATTTACCACCTGCGTGGACATTCGCTGGCGCTGGATGTTTGTCATCTTCTGCTTGGCTTTCCTTCTCTCGTGGCTGTTCTTCGGATGTATCTTCTGGCTGGTGGCCATCTTCCACGGAGACCTTGAAAACAAGAGCCCAAAATGCGTTTCGAATGTGAGCACCTTCACCGCAGCTTTTCTCTTCTCTATTGAGACTCAGACCACCATTGGCTATGGCTACCGCTATGTGACGGACGAGTGTCCCATTGCCGTCTTCATGGTGGTATTCCAGAGCATCGTGGGCTGCATTATTGACGCTTTCATCATTGGTGCTGTCATGGCTAAGATGGCTAAGCCCAAGAAGCGTAACGAGACACTGGTGTTCAGCCACAATGCTACTGTGGCCATGAGGGACAATAAGCTGTGTCTGATGTGGAGGGTAGGGAACCTACGCAAGAGCCACCTGGTGGAGGCCCACGTTCGGGCGCAGCTCCTGAAATCTCGTACCACTGCAGAGGGAGAATTCATCCCTCTCGACCAAATGGACATTGACGTGGGCTTCGACAGTGGCATCGACCGAATCTTCCTGGTTTCTCCCATCACCATTGTCCACGAGATTGATGAGGACAGTCCCTTCTATGACATGAGCAAGCAAGACCTGGACAGCTCGGAGTTTGAGATTGTGGTGATCCTGGAAGGCATGGTGGAAGCCACGGCAATGACCACCCAGTGTCGTAGCTCATACCTGGCCAGCGAGATCCTCTGGGGCCACCGCTTCGAGCCTGTCCTGTTTGAGGAGAAGAACTACTACAAAGTAGACTATTCTCGCTTTCACAAGACGTATGAAGTGCCCAGCACCCCCCTGTGCAGCGCGAGGGAACTTGCAGAGAAAAAATACATCCTTTCCAACCCCAACTCTTTCTGTTACGAGAACGAGGTGGTGCTTCCGAACAAAGAGGAGAAGGAGGAAGGGGACGGGGGTGGACTTGGGCCCGTGAACACACACACTGACACTGGCTCGGACTCTGACCACAATCAGGCCAGCGTCCCCCTAGAGCCACGGCCGCTGAGGCGAGAATCGGAAATATGACTGCTCCGACCTCACGGGAAGGTCTAGCAGATGCCTCTCGGTCGAATAGGCATGTAGACTTGAACTGAGGCCTGTAGGGGATGCAGACTTAAGCTGACGGTACAGCTGTGAAGAGGGGTTAATAGACGAACTGAACAAGAGTGTTCTTACGAATATGCATGGTTTAAAAATACAGAATAAGACAAAAAAAAAATCACAGACTAGTGGCATTGCACTGTAAGAGGAGTGCACGTAAAGAGGAGGGAGGGGGTTATTCAATTATGCAACACTACCTTTCAGACTGTTGATTCTGTATGTCACAAAGTGGAGAGGATGTAACTGCTATGCAAAACTTGAAAACATCAGGCATGTCCTCCTGTGCATTTGTCCACACTTGCATTAATTCTTTTAAATCTGTTGTGGTGGCCAGGTTTATAATCTAGATGAAACTCAATGCTTGAATGAAGTTCTGATGTCAAGTTTATAACTTTTCCCAGTTGTTTCCACAGTAGAAAATGGTTACAGAACAACTTTGCTAGCCAAACAATGCTTACTTACCTAAAGGTAAAGTTATACCTTAATGATTTTCTCATTTCAGTTTAGACAACAATGGTAACACGTCAGATAACTATGTCACAATTGATGTAGCCCCATTTTTGAAAATATATAAATACACTAGCTATTCTATTATCCAGTATATTTATTAGCATATATACCACCACATATTTTTCTATTTTCAGTATGAGTCTTAGGGCCTTAGTTGGATCAGAGGTACCCTTAAAATAGTCCTTTTGGGGACTTATGACTTACATGCGTGTGACCTGTGGCCACAATACACAAGAATTCACTCATAGTTAATGTAAGAAGAGCGGAGCTTAACTGCAGGCTTCGCAGTGGTATAGGAGCTTGGGGGAAATGCAAGGAACATGCCTGTTTACAGCGCTAACTCCCACAGGGTCAGAATGGTGTCACAGCCAGACACAGCAGTCATCCCGTCCACTGGGACAGAGAGGGTGAGAATGTGCTAATGAATGTTTTTTCTATACATGCTGCTATGTTGCATATTATAATAGGGTTTTGGAGAAACCAAAGAGTATTCTACAACAATCTGTGATAAAGAATGCATCAGATTCTTATACAGATGCTAGAAGTAGGTATATTGGAGAGAGAAGAAAAAGAAAAATTAGGAATATTTTGCAAATGGAGAGATTTTTTGTTTGTTTGTTTGCTTGTTTTTCAATACATTTATTTTATCAGCTATTTTCATATTCAAAGCCAAATGTTTGTAAGACAAAGATGAAATAATGTATAAGGAAACCCGTTAAAATAAGACGGCTACAGGTTAGCCTCATGTTTTGTTTTTTTTTTAAAGTAGCCCCCACACCAAGTGTCAGTGTTACTAATATTTTTAGTGCTAAGTGTTTTGAGGTTATGAAATTGTTGCTAAAAAACCTGTAGATTTAAAGCAACCTGTATGAAGTGAACATATATTCTTTTACAAGAAAAACATAGATGTGCAATGTGTAAAACTGCACTGTATTAAGACCTGGAGATTGAAGGTAGCTAATCTTTTGTAGCATTGGATAGAAAACACGACTATCCTACACTTTACCCTTACAGAGTTTAGCTCGTCTAATGTTTCACAACTTCTCAATCAACACTAACCTCTAACTTCGCCTGACAAACTGCAATACAACCCTAATGGCTCGTTCGGGACATGTACCAGGGCATTGGAAGCCATGTAGGATTGAGTAATTAGACTGAGATCACATGCCATGATCCAATAGCAGGACCGCGTCACCAGCATTGCGCTCAGGACTGCACATCAGACGTGTGCCCAAGCTATCACATAGCCCCTGATTTCGTGATATCAGATGATATCATGCCATCAAACCACTCTGCACCAGTGTCTGTACTTTACTAACACCTGTTGTGAAGTGTCTACCAGAGCAAATTCTCTCCAACGCTCTCTAAAAAGGAGATAAAATCAGACCAACAGATCCTTTTTTTTTTAGAAATATCTGTTTTCCAAAAACAAACACTACACATGGCATATTGACCGTGTGAAGCGTTCAAATCAACATGTTCGTTATGTGTTGTTGTTGTTTTAGCCATTTAATTTCTGTTGCATTTATTCGAGAAACACTAGGTTAGTAGCCATGATCAGTGGGCCTGATGAGTACTGACCTACAGCTGGTTCTATCACAAACAGAAAGACCCCCTTTAAACGACAGATGGCCTACGTGCAGCGTTTCTCCTTGGTTTGTAAATATCCCAGTACCTTTTGCAGTCTTTTTGTATCAGTCTTCCTTGTACTGCAAAAAATAAAATCTAAAAAAAAAACAAAAAACAATGGAATGTACAGATTTTTATATTATGATTAATATTATTGAAGTTATTATTATTGTAATTATTATTGTACATGCTATTTTATTTCCTTTTTTTCAATAAAATATGAATGAATGATAAAAATGTTGTTGTGGTTGTGCACAAAATTTCCAGCCATTATGTACAAGTTATAAATTTTTCAGGAGATATTTCTGAGGACATTAGATAGAAGATAGTCCACTTGCATTAAAAAAAGGGGAAAGCAAAATAAGTGGAATAAAAAAAAATCAGTCAACATCACTAAATGTGTTTGAGATTACTTGTTTAAGGAAAAACAGAAAATGCAACCAACTTCCAAGACTGAACTTTGGAGGTGTGGGAGAATATCCATGCAGAGCAAGTCTCCTGAAAAGAAAGGAAGCTGTAATAAATGGACACTGGATACTGGAAAAAATTCTATTATTTTTAGATGCTGAGGCTTCTGTATCATTTCAAATTTGAAATATCTATTCTGCTTTTTTCCCAACACTGAAAAATAAATAACTTGTCAATCGTTACTGGAATTTTGACCGTAAATTAAATAAACAAAGGGTGATCTCTGACTTTTGCACAGCACTGTACAATATTTGTAAATCAAAACAGTTAAATAAGTACAGAATATGCACTGAATTAAGGTCTGTTTACACAGACACAGCATCATCTACATCTTCACAAGGAAAATGTGTATGTAAAAGAGACAAAAGGCAAAAATAATACACATTTTAACCATAAATGTCATTTTAACTCTCTACTTTGTCATATCCATCTTGGAAATATCAGCGTCCCTCTCATGGATACAGTTTATAAGGCATAAAAGGTCAGCTATGTTTTAAACAGCCCTTACATAAAACATTCATAAAGCAGTGGCCATCTTCTTGGACATTAAGCAGGACCAAGAAGTTCTTAGAAAGGCTTAGCATGCCTCCGTCAGACCCGCCCCCCCCAACCCGTCTTTCTCATCGTCCTTTCATTAAAAAGATTACTCATCTGCAGATGCAGAAGTCACATGTTTGGAAACCCAGGCCAAAAGAAAAGTGCCATGTCATGCTCCAAGGTGCCAGTCAGGCTGTCGCAGGCCATATTCACACTGTCCACCTGCTGTTGTGTAATTATTATCTAATCACAGCCGCATCTATTCATTCCAAAGTGGCTCTGACTCAATGTTAAAAGGCCCTGATGTTGCGCTTCTGAGCCTAATCCACCGTCATTATGACAAGGTGAGAAGTCCCAGGTTGTTGATGAGAGGAAACGGGCTTCGTTTTGAATAATACGGGCTGACAGTGGCTCTGGCCTTTGCCTCCAATGCGGACGGGGTATGATTTATGTTTCAGAGAAGTGATGGAGACACTGTGCTCAGGTCTAGCTGGATGGAAAAAATCCCCATCTGTGGGACAGCGAGATTGACACTAATGTCAACTTAAGGGAGTCTGGACTTCTGAAACTGTGGAAAAGGAGAACAAACTCTGTGTGTGTGTGCAGAGAGAGAGAGAGAGAGAGAGAGAGAGAGAGAAGAGAGAGAGAGAGCGAGAGCAGGAGAGAGAGAGAGAGAGAGAGAGATCTCTATTTGCTAATGGTCATTACAAGATCCATTAATAAGAAAGATGGACAGGAAAAGCAAAAGGGATGGATGAGATGGAGAGAGCGAAAAAAGGAGGGAAAGAAAAAAGCAGCCTCTTAACTATGGAATCATTTTCATTTAATATTAAATCTCTTTAATTGCATCAGCTAAAAGCATATGTTGCATAACTGATAATATTTATATAATATAATATTTTATGCTGCAACTCTCAATTTACATTGATTGTAAATGACAGTATACAAGAAATTATTTGTATTTTAATATCTGCAATCAGATACTGGAAAAATGGCAGCACATACACTCAAAACTGATTTCTTTATATTTATATTGATAAATAATAATAGTTTATTCAATAATAACTTATACAGCATGTCTTACTAATAGCATTGAAATCTGTCAGGTATTTTTTAGATGTTTTATTCTATCACACTTAAAAAAAAAAAAATGGTTCTTTAAGGGTTCCTTTTAATAAGGAAAATGGTTCTATATAGAACCACCAGCACTCAAAGAACACTTTGCATGAATAAAGAGTTCTTTGCATCATGAAAGCGTTCTTCAGAATGATGGAGAATGTAATATGGATGGTTCTATATGAACCCTTTTTGAAAAAGGGCACCAAAAAGGGTTCTTCCATTGTAACAAGCTTGGCATAACAATAGAAGAACCCTTTTTGGTGTATAGAAACCTTTGTTTCATGGTTCTATATAGAAGCATTTTCTTTGAATTCATTTGTTAGTAAAGAAAATGGTTCTATGTAGAACCACGAACACTCGAAGAACCCTGTTCATGATTAAATGGCTCTTTGCATCATTAAAGGTGCTTCAGATTGATGAAAAGTGTGCATGAATGTGCTAAAGATGGTTCTATATAGAACCTTTTTGAAAAGGGTTTTATATGGCACACAAAAAAGCTTGACATGGTAACAATAGAAGAACCCTGTTGGTGTGCTATATAGAACCATTTTCAAAAAGAACCATTTACAGCACATTCTCCATCAGTCTAAAGAACTCTTTCATGATTTATAGAACCGTTTAATCATTCAAAGGGTTCTTCGAGTGTTCATGGTTCTACGTAGAACCATTTTCTTTACCAAAGAACCCTTGAAGAACCATATTTTTTAAGCATGTACAGCTTTGTCCATCATTCTGGATCTAAAGTTTCTTAATGTTTAACACATTTTTAAAATCTAATATTAAGTTGAAATCTACACTCAAATAATGAACCAACTGAGAATATGTTGACCTTAAATCAATGAATTGTGTTGTCTTTAAGTAGCCGCTTCACATAAAGTGGACAAAAAAAAAATCAAAAAGGTCTTTTCAGTGAATGAAAACATTAAACCACAGTTAAATAAACTGCACTGAATTGTTTCAATATTTGGTCAATCAGCAATTGAACTTCATGTTGTGGTAACTAAATATACTGACATTACTCTATCTGACTGAATGGAAATGGGTGGCATAATTAAATTACGTTCGTGCAAAGATTTATGTTTTCTGAGTGTATGAATGTTACATCTCTGCAGCAAAAGTGATTCTAAACTTCTGAGTGGTAGTATAAGTCTTTTAATCATGCATGTCTCTGAGGGGTTATTAGCATTAAGAGGGATTAAACATTCAGAAGCCCC